GTCCACCTTTACTCTTCTTTACAACAAGGCACAGCGTGTTTCGTGAAGGGAGACCATCCAACAAAATGAGAGGGAACCTTGGTAGTTCAGGAATGATATAGAGTGTCTAGCGATCAGGTGGCATCTAACACAATACTTGAGGTTAGGAATTTGGACACACGACAGGTCTCGGCAGGGACTGACACACATTAGTTAGCCTGCTCGGTGTCAGAGCAAAAAGGAATTATAGTTGACCTCAATGGTGTCTAGATTCTGAAACGAGGACTTTCACCGTACCTGAATATTAAGAGAAATAGGTGAACTGAGCGATTGTGCCAAAATCTCGTTAAGACTAATTTAATGGACGACAAACATACCATATTCACGGTCTGCTTCCAATCAAATGTGCACTATTCATACGAAAATTAGAAGTTTACGTCATGTAAAAAAGTATACCTGAGGTCAAGCGTCACGATTGTCACGGTTGCAGTCATTTTCCTGTTTTTGTTTCATCACACCCCATCGTGGTGGTTTTCGGATATCAAAATTAGCATGTTAGTGTGGTTCTACAGTGCTTGGAAATGTGAAAACGCATTCCCAGTGAGCCTAGTCACTCTTGTCTCTCGTTTCAAATCTGCTCACGCGCCTGTAATGCTCACGTGCTTTCAACCCCACGCGCTTAGTCAATTTGCTGCCTGCCTCTGCGCTGTCCGGCCTTGCAATCAGACTTTGCCTGTTCACCATTCCTCAACGTTCCAATCGATCGTTTATTGCTCGTGTGTTTTCTAATTTTGGACAATGTGTGCAAAAACGCCACTGTTTCCGGTTCCTATAACAGCATCTTCGATCTCAGTGTAGCTGGTGCAAGTTGTTTGGACCTATTCCACTACCAGTTCTGGACAACTCGGACTAGTTACGGAAGCTAATTCAGCTAAACAGAGTGTTAATACAATTCTCTCTAAGGGTGTAGTTCGTCTAAACTTTGGCATAGTCGATTACACCTCCCGAAAATGGGGTTGTAACTTTCGTAAACCATCTTTAAAATGATACTTGATGACAAGATGAAAGACTTTGAAAACCTTCAAACAGGCTGCTATGTTTTCACCCGTGTCTCGCATGCATCATACTACCCATCGACCCATCTGTTTGACCCAATCACGATCGTGTAGGAATACTCGTCACTAATGTACGCAGTCTGAGCATACTGGCACACTTGGGGAATGATATCTGTTCGCAAACTCCTTATATCGTCATCATCATCATTATCAACAGCATAACATCAGGGAACTACTCACAAGGTTGCTGAAAACTCTTCGATAGCCCACGACCGGTTACGCCCTTCTTGGGGCTCATTAGGTATGCGCAGTCACCGAGTTTCCATCAACCTTATGTTCTACTTGAACAAAAATTGGACCGTTTTCGAGAAATACACTCATTTGCAAATCAATGTGGTTTTCACGAGAGACTCAACTGGACCTCTCGTTTATGATATTCTACAACTGAATGTGCTGCACACAGGCGGCCTCATGTTTCAGTTGGCACGATTTTCGAGATATCGCAGTATATTTTGATTTGCAAATCAGTGTATTTCTCGAATGCATAACATCAGCTTTCGCCGCCCCACAGCCATTATACACATTCTCATAATATTAATAGTTTTATACACATCATTATGTGCACTCCCTATAACCACAAACGTGTAAGCCGGACTAGTGAAATAGAACGACGAAGGTTACATAAAGCTAACATAAAATTTCCATTTCTTGATCGTTCGCCTAAACGCAACCAGGCCACCCTGTTCCTGCCCTTTTGAGTACCCTACATCCGGTTGCGCCGATCAGTCGATAATGCTTTAATTCGCTAGATCTCGTAACGACTTCGAACGATGATTATAACAGCTTTGTGCACATGGTCTCGATCACTTGCTCCATAACTGATAATGCGACCGTGGAGTTGACTGAGACGCTGCCATGATTCGAATTGATTATGATAGTGGGTCATCCAAGGCGGTCCACGCTTTTTGAATCACCATTGTGCTTTCATCTTAGGCCGCTCAATATTACTCTTAAGGTATCCCTTGGTTCACAGCTGAATGGGCGGTAAAACGCAAGTCATCCATACGTTCCACTTGATTTGTAGCGTTTCTTGTGATTCTTAGCTCGAGATAGCTCAGTGGTTAAGGCGCTAGCCTACTGACGGAAAAGTCTTCGGTTCGACCTCAGCCGTGGCATCACTACTGCCCCTGTCTATGTTTGGGCAACCTGGCACTATCGCAGCCCTCGCATTTTTTTCGGGTGCGTTAAAAGTGTTAATTTAATATTATTATTATTTAGTTATTCGTGTGATTCCACCCCATTCTACTCGTATGAGACTGTAGAGTGTGCAAACTGGTACCGCACATCGGCCCCTTATGCATTGTTGTCACTGACCAAGAGAACCCAGTGGGATGAACTTAGTAATTTGTACTACTACAGTTGTAATGGGTGCCAATCTACAGGACATGTATGGTTTATCCCTGAGTGGGTTTGCTATCCAAGTTAGAGTGAGTGTGGCAACCACAGGGGGATCAGCTGACTCCGGTCGTAATGAGACTGTTGGCGTCACTGGTGCTTCGTCGCCTTATGGTGGCTCGTATGACACTAAATCGAGAGCTGCAACCGAGATTCCGGCCTTGCAGGGTTGCGTTGACCAAATCTTCACACTTTGTCGGATGCTAGAACAACACCACACTTATAAGCGACCCATAATTGTAGTACTCCTAGATTTCCAAGACACTTTTGACTCGGTTGACCGATCTGTTCTGCTTGACAGGCACGCCCACGAATGTTCCGCCAGTGGGATGAACTTAGTAATTTGTACTACTACAGTTGTAATGGGTGCCAATCTACAGGACATGTATGGTTTATCCCTGAGTGGGTTTGCTATCCAAGTTAGAGTGAGTGTGGCAACCACAGGGGGATCAGCTGACTCCGGTCGTAATGAGACTGTTGGCGTCACTGGTGCTTCGTCGCCTTATGGTGGCTCGTATGACACTAAATCGAGAGCTGCAACCGAGATTCCGGCCTTGCAGGGTTGCGTTGACCAAATCTTCACACTTTGTCGGATGCTAGAACAACACCACACTTATAAGCGACCCATAATTGTAGTACTCCTAGATTTCCAAGACACTTTTGACTCGGTTGACCGATCTGTTCTGCTTGACAGGCACGCCCACCAAGGAATGTTCCGGAAGTTCGTGAACATAATATGCCCTCTGTATTCCCAGAATTCCGGACGTGTGATAGTATAGGGCGAGCTTTCCAAAAACTTCCGTGCACAAACTGACGTCCATCAGGGATATCCACTCTCCCCATTCCTTTCTAACTTAGTGATCGACAAAATACTAAGACGAACGCTGGAGGGTCTCCAAAACTCTGGTGTCCAAATAATCTGTGAGGAAAACCTTGTCGGTCTGGAATATGCAGCCGACATCGTTCTCATGTTCGAAGAGAAGAAGGCGCAGGTGTTTTTGGATGAACTGATCAAAGTCATCTCGTCCTTTGGTATGCGCTTTGCACCCACAAAGCGTAAGGTCATGCTCCTCTACGTGCAGTCACTGAACGTGCCGCTTAAAATCCAGGGAGAGGCAGTGGAACTTGTGGGGCGTATCTTGGGAAGACGCTCGAAGTTGTGGAGCATTTTACGTACCTTAGAAGTTGTATTAGTTCTGATTGTAGCGTGACAGATGAGGTGAATGCACGAATCTGCAAGGCTCGTGCCACGTTTGCTAACTTGGGACACTTATGGTGTCAGAGATAAACTCCCTGAATCTGAAGGGACATGTGTATCAAGCTACAGTACGGGCTGTTTTGTTGTATGGCTGTGAGACTTGGCCTATTCTAGCAGCGGAACCGAGACGTCCTCATGTGTTCCACAGTCATTGTCTCAGAACCGTTGCTCGTGTGAGTTGGCGTCGATTCATATGTAACGAGGCAGTTAGTAAGCGAGTTTTCGGTTGTGTAACGGTTACTTCCATTGAAGAACGTGTCCAGCACCAGAGCCACTGACATCAGTTGGCAGCCATATCTTGCAGCGTCTCCAACCAGGCGCAGTGAGAATCATGCGGTCCACATCCTGGAAGGCGAGTAGCACCGACAGCACCCAAGCGTTTCGTGATCTCCTTCATACTCCTCTGCCAAGTCAAGGGTTGTCAGGTGCTAAAACAACGCCATACGTATCAGCGACCCACAATTCTAGTACTCCTGGATTTCCGAGGCGTATTCGACACGGTTGATCGCAAAAGGAAAGGCGCAAGGATTCTTGGATGAACTGATCAAAGTCATCTCGTCCTTTGGTATGCGCTTTGCACCCACAAAGCGTAAGGTCATGCTCCTCTACGTGCAGTCACTGAACGTGCCGCTTAAAATCCAGGGAGAGGCAGTGGAACTTGTGGGGCGTATCTTGGGAAGACGCTCGAAGTTGTGGAGCATTTTACGTACCTTAGAAGTTGTATTAGTTCTGATTGTAGCGTGACAGATGAGGTGAATGCACGAATCTGCAAGGCTCGTGCCACGTTTGCTAACTTGGGACACTTATGGTGTCAGAGATAAACTCCCTGAATCTGAAGGGACATGTGTATCAAGCTACAGTACGGGCTGTTTTGTTGTATGGCTGTGAGACTTGGCCTATTCTAGCAGCGGAACCGAGACGTCCTCATGTGTTCCACAGTCATTGTCTCAGAACCGTTGCTCGTGTGAGTTGGCGTCGATTCATATGTAACGAGGCAGTTAGTAAGCGAGTTTTCGGTTGTGTAACGGTTACTTCCATTGAAGAACGTGTCCAGCACCAGAAGTTGCGTTGGTTGGGACATGTGTTACGTATGCCTAAAGGTCGGTTGCTGAAGAGAGTGTTGCTTTCCATGCCCAACTCAGAATGGCGTAAGCAGAGAGGTGGCCAACCCTTGACTTAGAGAGGGGTATTGAAGGAGATCACGAAACGCTTGGGTGCTGTCGGTGCTACTCGCCTTCCAGGATGTGGACCGCATGATTCTCACTGCGCCTGGTTGGAGACGCTGCAAGATATGGCTGCCAACTGATGTCATTGGCCATCTTGTCGGTTTCTATCCAGATTGCATGAGATGGTGTTTGGAACGATTGTAGTAACCTACCACTAAGTCCATTCCCCGTTCAAGTTTATTCTTTTCTTCACAATAAGGCTTTCAAATAAATCATAGTTGTACGGCAGCGAAGCATCGTTGTTGAACACTGATATCATGTTGTCGATGAGGATGATGATCCGTGTTAGATTCACATAATTTCAGTCCCGAATGATAATAGTCATTAATCCGTGATTCGTGGTATAAGTGCGATATCCGATCAACATTTGAAGTATTCCGACCACCGCTCTTTTTTTCCTATTTTTCAAAACGTGTTTTCTCCATTCTGTTCTGGATCTCCATCGATAAAGTAGGGTGTACTTGGTGGGTAACTCAGCTGCCTATTATTATTATTCACACCTGCGTTTGCTTTCTTGTCCGCAGAATGCGCGGTCAGAATTACTGACGGATGCAGAAAATGCCACGCTCCATTCGCTTTTGGGACCTAACTGTCGTTCACGAGCGACAGCGGTCGTGCGTCTCTATGTGGTAAAGGGTGCTCATCAGTGGGTACACAAATGTTATGGTGTGGCGTGTTACGTCCGTGATAAACAGGAACGCGCCCACTTTATCCGCGTGTATGACATCGATGTAAGTCTTGTATGTCCTGGGGCGTCTGAACGCCTCACTTTATAATTTTAGTCTCAACAGGAACTATTTGGACAAGAGTTGTATCTGGAAATGCAATATACCCGACCGCTCCCCCGATTTCATATCATGCAATCAGATGCCGGCCCCATGGGAATCTCATTTTCATCGGCTGAAGAGGCTAAGTTGTTTGGAGACGTGGTTGTGGAACAGATTGAGAGGCGCTTGGCTCGTGTCCAGGCCAGTCAGTCAGCGGAGCCGACGCCAACTGCTCCAGCCTCCACAGTCGCGTCAAATAATGGTATCCAACCTGGAATATATGAGCTGAATCGGCCCATTCCCACATACCAGGTGTCGATTCCGTCACAGAAAAAGACTAAAGGAAAAGGGAAAAAGGTGCATATGTAGTTGTGATCTTTGTAAAGCTTGCTGATTTTGTTACCTTGTGGCGTTTCCAGTCATTTTGTTGGAGTTTCTCTCCCAGTCCTTATGACACAGAATCTTCATAGAGTTTTTCACTGACAAGCCAGTCAATTACGACTATGATCCCCATACAATAGGCTTCCTACTGATGTATTTTAAGGCTATCAGTTCTTTAGGTAGATATGTTGGCTTGGCCAAGTGACACGTAGCCAGACGCGGTCCTTGTCGCCCGTCGCCAACTAATATGATGTTTTAGTTAGTGTTGAGGCAGGTTACACAACTCATATTTTATCTACTCAGACACATGCGCCTACGAAGACCAGACTTTTCCTCTATCCGATCCATGTCGATCATTGTGCTACATCGATCAATCGGCTCTTGGTTTGCTGTTCGTTCGTGGAACATTCCTGAGTGTGTTAATCGGTTTTTAGTCTGATGCATTGAACACCATACGAACTGTAGTGACGTTGGAGGTGCGGTTTGAAATTAGCGTTAAAGCCATGACGACTTAGCACAACCATAACAGCAACAATAATTACAGAAAGGTGCCCACTGCGAAATTCATTCCTTTGATGATGCCTGACGAAGCACACACGCTTACGCACTAGATGTTTTTCAAGCCCCATGCTTCCCCATTGTTTATACTGCCTTAGTACGGTCTCCAGATAGGCTTTTCTTTTTAACCCTTGTCTATGCATAGTTTGTCTTCACAATAAATTAATTCTGTGAAGAACGCAAATCGTGGTTTATGCCCAGCTTTGGGACGCCCGATTTCTTTCTTCCGATTAGTCCAGTTATCATCCATTTCTGTTCCCGGAAAAACTCCCGATCAGTTCTTAGCGGGGCTTACACATTACCCCTATTTGTCCATCGATTCTCGTGTTCTCCATTAGCTTTTAAGAGTTCTTCTTGGGGAACCACAGCAGGTGAGCGAAATTTTGTGGCACCCCAAGGCATGTGTGTTCCGTTTTCCATATACTCCTCCCGCATGTAGCTTTTCGTGTAATATAACTTCACTGAACTTCCGCATGAGCACATGAGTGTTTGCATCCCCTTCTTCCGGATATGTGTGCTTCCGCTTACCACTACTAGCCATTGTGTTTGATGGTAGCTGAATGTTTAACTCTCGTCTTCCGATTGTTTACATTTAATCCGGTCTGATACTTCCAGTCATCTGGGTCGAAGTGTGTTATCTCCTCTACCCAGTTCAGCATTTCAGTCTTTTTCGTTTTGTCGTTGGTTCTATGTACATTCAATGCACTTCCCTGGGATCATTTTCCCTCACTAAGAACGTGTCTTCACCAACCTCTGAACACTCCCACTGCAGTTGCTAAAGATTGTGTTACAGGTGAAGGGGACGTAAAACTCGCAAAATTTAGAACCAGAAATATTCATCGGAATCGATAAGCGTTTGGAGCTTTTGACTGTATGCTCACTGATCTACTCGGTTTTCTCTACTTTCAGTCAACTTGGAGCGTCAACGCAGTAATTCACCAAACCTTTAGCCTCTTTCGATTCAATGGGGTTAGAGCCCACTCTACACACAGAGGTTGTGAAACGCTTCTAAGGCCACTCGCGATTAGGTGTGAAAACACAATGTATTTCGGGGTCCACGGTTTCTATTGTTTCTTAATCACTGAAAGGGTATTTTGGCTCATTTTTTATTAAGTTTCCCCCTGGTTTTTTCATCCATTTTACTTTGTGCACCCGGGATTACAGGCTTCAGTTCAGTGTTGATATATCATTTTTCCAATTCGCTGTTCACATAAACATGGAAGTAGTTGATCGGAACATATCCTGATTAGAATCCGCTCATTATTTTTTTATTTTACCAGTCTTCGATGTTGGAGTGCTGGAGGATTGATCAATCGACGGATTAATAGTTGCCCATTCAGACCCAGGTTGTTCGGAGTCTATTATTAATTTCTCAGGTCTTGTCACCAACAAGCAATAGACACGTGGCCATTTGAATATGAGCTTTTCATCATTGAACAACGGTTAGAGCGCGAATTTGCTGGCCGGAAGATCCTTGGTTTGAACCCTACCTCTACGTCTCGACTTCCCGTGTGTAGGTTTGGGCATCCTGATAGTGTCCCAGCCCTCGTGCTTCCTCCTTGTGGCATGGCAGTTAGGCACCGAAAGGGTGCTACAGCCGAACGATTTTTTTTTAAATTCGACGTTCCGTGACGTCTAGTCTTCTATCAAATTGACTATCGGCTGATCTGGCATCCTAGTCAGTGAAGAGGCTTTCCCCATCTTTGTAGTTGGGCTTCGAAGCAGCTGCCGACCAAGCCTGACATTCAGATCCGAACGTAGAGGGACCCATTAAACATCTCATTGGTTATGGTCCTCGGAAAATGGTGACCGACTCGAAGTGGGAGTTTTTTGCGTTTAGTTCATGGTTTCCTTGGGAACATCTCCAGATGGATTGGCTAAAACGTTATCCATAAGTGTGTTCAGCCGTTTTAATTTCACTGCACTATATTGGGTGCCCGATACGATCTTCCCACTGGTCAGAACTGTTTCTTTCGTCCGTCGCGGACATCAATCGTCTACGTAAGATGCTCTGATGCACTCAGCTGATTTGTTGTTTTCGGCAACTCATACAGCACGTGATTCAGTGATCCATGTGATTGAGAACACTGAACTCGTGACGTTATGAGCATCTGATATGTCCAGTGAGACTCAATGCCTGGAACCGGTTGGGTTGGTTGAGTACTTAGAGTCTTCAACCCTTCAGCACGAAACAAATTTCATGAGTCCTAACGTCAGTTAGCAGCTGCTTTAGACTGGATTTGTTGCCTAATCGAATGTCATTAGGCTAGGAGCGGAAATGCTAGAAAGTGTGCGATTTCAATAGCATTTCGCACACTGTATGAATTTAAGGTACAGGATGCTTTGTTTTATTGTAGCTGGAGGCAAACAGACCGTCAATCATAGCTTATGCAGACGGATGTCATCGGATGCTCGGCGTGATGGATGAATACCGAGCGTTTGGTTATGAACCATGTGCTTCACGTGGGATAGTGTATTTTGCTTTGGTAATTGCAGAAAGACGGCAATTTGTACTACGCCTGCCTTGTTGAAATCTATTGAGTACAACTTTGTTCTGCGACAAATTCGAAGCAACCAGAACCCTGGGATCCTCTGGAGTCGTGAGACAGAAGTTTGAGTGACTAGTGATATCTACCTGTCAGAATGAAATCTATGTAACTTCCTCCGTGCCTAACTGGATCGCCACAGTCTATATCGTAGGAAAAAGTAGGTGGTGAATGGGTACGCACGCTGATGCATTCGGTTGAAGTGTTTAAAATGTTCTGCCCATCTGGGAGTCCCAGTGGTTTCGGGATTCATTGCTTAGGTTGGACTGAGCAGGCAATCGTTTTCCGGAGGCTGGAGGCAAAACCCGACATAGCTTCACGTATTCAGCGACCTACGACGCAGGTTTCCTTACTGGTCACCTTGTGATCCAGTAGTGATTTCAGTTGTTCCTGGCATACTGGGTCGTTTGCCTGCGGAATTGGCGGGGATTTCGGCAGTAGAGACCCTTTAGCCTTGTTTGATGACCGCATGATGCATTCGGAAGTCCAGTTTCGTAACTATTGTGTATTGGGACCATCGACAACTATGTAGTATGTATCGAATTGTACGCGAATGTCTTCAAATAAAGATTGTCGCTTATTTAAGCGGTCGAAAAGAGTGGTGCTGTATTTCCTAACAAGACAAGTTTTCAGACGAGTTATCTCGAAGAGCCGAGGCTTTTCTTGTGCGAGATCTGATCCTCCTTGGTTCCTTGCTTCTGCCTCTCTGGAGGAGGCCCATCTGGATCCCCTCGCTTGAATGTTGTCAGATGCTTCTTAGGGTGTTGGAAGCGCGTGTCCGTGACGCGCAATTCGGTGAAATTAACAGCGATGGCTGAGACTGTACTTACCATGAATATGGCGTGTCGGTCCGGTGCAGGTGTTCTAGTTGGCAACCACGTTAAGCACGTAAGTCCTCGGTATTTTTTTTCAACAGCTGCTTAGAACTCGTCTTTGAGTGGCTGCTCGGGACTAATTGTTGGTGCTTAGATGGTTGTGAGGGTGATGTTGAATGAACCTTTCCAGTGCGATTCCCAGATTGATCATTTCAAATGACTATGACGCATTTCGAGCCCGAAAGCTGCACTATACTGAACAGGACAATTTTGTGGACCCTTGTGGTAGAGCCAGAAGATGCTATCTGTCCCATGGAACCCTTGCAGATTTTGATAAACACCTTAAATCGACCACTTAATTCTAAGGGGAATGCATGGTAATAACTGAACGCCAACAAACAAGAGGGTCCATCCCAACACGCCACCTAAACGATTTTTCAAAAACCGAGTTTCCCTGCCTGGTCAGCGCAGCCGCTGCTGAAGGTACGTCGACTACCGGATACGCTGCGGAATGAGAAGAATAGTTAATAAAATAAATCCTAAAGTTTCCTGGGGAGACATTACAGGTCGGGTCCTCAACGCCGTTCAGCTTTTGTTCGAAGTTATGTCTGTGGCCTTTGCACGACTTGAAGCATACCAACAGACAGTCGTGTGCAGAGCGCTATTAAGCAGGACTCTGACCGTCAAACCAGAGATGTTTTCCACCCAGTCCATCAGAGCTGGTTCCACATGGTGCATTGCTCGTTTGAAGTCAGAGTTTTGTCGACTATCCTAGACGGGTAACCAGTGAACCGTCGGAGCCTTTGTGGCGTGGGACAGCCGCGTTTGTCCTTCCAGTTTTGTGAAAACAGCCCCACCACGAGAATAGAGTGAATTGGACTTCCACAACAGCGGTTGCATGTTGACAGGCAAAGGGCGACCCTAGTCGATTCCCGAAACACCCCACCCAACCGGGCTGAGGCATTAGGAGGCCTTGGAACCGTTCGGTGGCGTGATTCAACTATTGACTCGCTGATGCTGATTCCGCTGAGATGGACGCGTGATCTTTTTCGGACAT